TGCTGGGATTATGGGTGTGTGTGCTACACCCACCCTAGGGTGAAAAGCCTGCATACAATATAAGGAAGGGAAAGAGGCTTGCTTGCTGCTGTTCCTTTTTGTTCTTGTTGCTTTTGCTGTTTTCCACCACCATGAACCGTTGTCCTTTTGCCATGCCACCCTACCTTGGAGCCAGCTGATTATGGACTGAAACCTCCACAAACTGAGCAAAATAAACCTTTCATTCTTTAATTTTGGGTGCCATGTATTTTGTCCCAGCAATGAGAGAAAAGCAACCAAAACAAGTACTTAACAGAAAACATATCAAAATAAAGTATTGAATTTTTAATATGTATCAAGTGTTTATAAAGAAGCATAAAAAGTTTCAATACTGTTTTTTGGTGTGCAAAGTCTAAAAAATAACAACAGAAATAAATTCCTACATGAGCTACATTGGAAAAACCAATGAATATGACAAAAAAATAATCCTTACTTCAATTATCACAGCTAAGGCAGTCTTCAAATATGACAACAGCACATTCCATACACACCTATCACTTAAACTTGCAGCACATGTGTTTCACTTTCCTGGCCCTTTTTTTCTTTTTCTTTTTTTTGTACTGGGAATTGAACTCAGGGTCCTGTGCTTGTCAGGCAGGATTTGTGTCGCTGAGTTATGTACCCCGCCCTTTCCTGGCCTTTTGTAGGACATACTTGACATCTTGCTGGTCTGGCTGTTTTGTCAGGAGGTTCCTATCTATTTTACAATAGATGGGAACATAAAGTATCAATAAAATAAAGTATTAAATTCTTCATATATATTGCATGTTTAGAATAAACATCGACATTTTCACATCATTTGTTTACTTGCTTATAGATCCCAAAAGATAACATAAGAAATAAATTCCTATATGAACTATAATAAAAATACCAATAGAACTCTACAACAAGAATAATCTTTGCTTCAATTGCACCCCCAAGGCAGTCTTCATACATGACAACTGCATTCTCCATGGACCCATCTTGCTTACACTGACAGCACATATGCTTACCTTTCCTTTCCTATGTGCCAGGTCATTCTTGTCACCTCTCTTGTCTTCCTGTCCTGTCAGGAGCTTCCTACTGTATTGTACAATGTGAACTTAGGAGGAAAATAAGATATCAATAAAATAAAATATCAATTAATAATGAGTGCCTAGAATAGACACTAACATTTTCACATCAGCTGTTTACTTGCTTATAAAACCTAAAAGATAACCTCAGAAATAAAAACCTATGTGAACTACAATGTAAATACAAACAAAAGTCCACCATAGAAATAATTATTGCTTCAACTGTCACTCCCAAGGCAGTCTTCACACATGAAAACTGCATGTTCCAAACACAAGTATTGCTTACACTGATAGAATATATGGTTTGTTTTCTTGTCCTTTCCTGTAGGGCACAGTTGACATATTTTGGTTTCCCTATTGTCATAATAGGTCTTTTTCATGCCATGCCTTCATGTTCATCTATCCCCTCACCAGTGTGCTGCACAATTTTTTTTTTCCCTAGTTCCCTGGGCAGAAATATTTTGTTTTTCCTCTGCTGTAAATGATCTCTTGTGAGTTCCAGTCCTAATTTTTCTATGATATTTTGCCCTTATTATTTTCTTTGTAAGCTATCAAACTACACTGTACATGTTTACAATCAAGTAAGACACAACCATTGGCGAACACTTTGTGTTTCCAGTGACATTAGAATTGCTGCATAACTCATCAACCACATCTCCACTTTTGGTTTTGTAGAAAGTTACCACCTCAGGCTTTTGTTTGTTGAGGTTTCAATATTTCCATCATGGTGCAATGTTGACATCAGCAGTACCAGTTTGTTTTTCTTTGCCATATACCAGGCCAATGTTATATCTTTCTGAAATCCAAAGATTATACTATACAATTCTCTGTTTCAAAATTGCAACATTTCATTTTGAATCTCTGCTTTGTTCCTGAGTACAGTTCCTGCACTGGTCAACTTGTGCTTTGTTAGTAAATGTAACATCGGTTGGAAACTGGTAAACCAATTGTCAGTTATCACATTCTGATTAGTTTGGGAGACAGGAGCAATGAATCTATTCAGTTTCACTTGGTTTATTACTGTACTAATAACGACGTGGTAGCTAAGTTACAGAATAAATTTCTAAATTGAAAGCGTAATAAGTCTTTGCATCTACAAGGGTATAAATTTTTAGGCTGTACTTTGAAGGATTTTTTTGTGAATATACTGCCTGAAGCTATAGTGTCCATGAAATGTTGCAAGATATTCATCAATAGCCATGTGTTCAGATGGTACGTAATGGTTGACAATTACCCACAAACCTCTCAAACCATCAGTGGACAACAGGCAGATTATCAGTTCTTTTTTTTTTCCTGGTGGTTTTGCCATCAAATCTCAGTCAATTTTGAAGGAAACCCAAACTCCTCAGTGTTACTGTTACTCTATAAACCTCAAGCATACACCCATTGTTTTTCCATGTTTTTTACATTCTTGTGATTACCAATGGAAAGCCTTGGTAAGTACAGCAGAGTTATGAATGCTTTCAGTTCAGTTAGTGAGGTGTCATAATAAATGCATTTTTTGAGTAAGGCTATTGGTGTGTACAGAACATTTTACTTGTATTTTAGCATTTGTGTATTTCACAAAATCTTGTAGCATTTCATCTGTTACAAACAATTTCCAACATTGAATGGCAGTTTGGGCATTTTGTCCAATGGGTTTCACCTTTGCCAAGGTCCTTACTATATTTTTAAACCTAGTTCTAATACTGGATCATTTGGTTGCATAACCATTTTGTACCGTTTCTGCTAGTCAAATATGTACTCACATTGCTGTTTTCTTCATCATCTGAATTAAGCAGGTCTGCATTCCCTGTGTCTGTATCAGTTAATTCTTGCTCCATTTCACTGTCTCAGGAACTGTGGCTCACATGGCCAACATCAAAACCATTATCACTGTCATCCATGTATGAATGATCTGATAATTCACTTTCAACCCTCCTCTAAAACTTGCAAATCTGGTTTCTCATGTGCCATTGTACTAAACTGGGCTCCTTCTACCAGAACAATCAAAGGAAAACTTTTTAAAAAACAAATCCTAAATTTACAGAAATTTCACAATAAGTATTTCAAGGGTAAAACTCACCTGTTGCTGCTTTGGATCTCCTGTACTTACCCTGCCCTTCGTCTGCAAAGAGAGTGAATGCACAGATGGATTTTTGCTTTTCAGTGGCACAGTATATGGCACAGTGCATGGCTGACATTGGTGCTACAAAAGGAGGCTGGAGATAGAATTACCTTACGTGGAA